GGGTGGGCGTGTCTGCCGGTTGCCCTGCTGGCTCTTCGCTCTTCGGAGCATGGAGGAGGAAACCTCGGTAAAAAACCTGATGGCGGGGCCCTGTAGGGGCCACAGTTTCTCCGCTGATAGCGGTGGAGAAAGGAGGACGGGCTCGGCGTGTACTCACACTACCACCGAGCAGGCAGGGGGACGTAGTCTCCCTGTCAACCGTCGGCATATCGCAATCCCGAGAAGAGCGCTGTGGTTAAGTCTCGCGGCTCTGATCGGAGGCGAGGGTCTTGGCTTAACCGCCCGGACCGCGAGGAAGATAACCTCTCTAAAAAATTCCCCGAATCCCGTGTTCTGGTGCGTGGCCAGGGGATGCATGGCTGATGGGAAGTTCAGTCGCGAGCGCACTCCAAGCCGAGGTACCTGCGGACCCCTCGGTTGGGTTAAAAACTTACGCTTGCCCGGGTAATGGGGGATCTCTGCCCGGGTGGACCTTTAGTTCTCCCCCACTCGTGGGATTATTATGGAACATGTTAAAAATATAGACAAACGATCGGAAAACCAAACTCAACGGAAAAAGGCAAGTCAAACGGATACGGCAACGAAGGCAAGGAGGGAGAAGAAGAACAGTGGAGCGGATGGGTCGTCCACTGAGGGCGAGATGGTGTCAGGAACGCCTATCTCGATGGGGCTCCCAGAGGTCAGTCTGACTCTGGTCTCTGGGAGCCGAAGAGCATCGGATCGGCTGCGTTCCGGATCCGCCGCTTCGTCGGATGGCGCGGAGGCCATGGAGGCGGAACGAAGCGACAGCAGGAAACGCGGACGCTCCAGGGAAGAGGGGACCGACACGTCCGGCGAAATGATGCCACCAAAGGTGGCAAGCAGCCGCCGAGGGAGGGCGCGTAAACCGGCCTCGGCCTCGGTCTCGACCCCGTCAGGCTCCGCGTTCTCAAACGCGGAGTCCTACAGGAGCGTACGAGTGGACGGCGAGGCCGTAGCGGAGGAGGAGATCGCGGATCTCCTGCTCAAGGTTCGGGAGCCGGTGGGGGGAAATGCCCCCCAGGCTCCCGTGTCCGTGCAGGAGAGGGCGAAAGCGGCGGTGGCCGTCATCAACAAGGTGGCCACCAAATCCGTGAACCTTAAGGGCTCGTTTGTGAGGGCCCTTAAGGACTCCTCCTCCGCTTTGTCGGAGGTCGTGGAGGGCCTAGCGGGCGACGTCTCTCGCCTGCAGGTGGCCAACGAGAAGCTGACGGAGCGGGTGAACGAGCTGAGCGCTCAGTTCGCCCGCTTCCAGGCGAACCTCCCCGAGCGGGAAGCCCCGTCCGCGTCCCAGCCTGCCCCTACCACCAACTCAGGGGCATTTGACTCCCAACTGCGAGAAATCCTCATCGCAGTTGGGAATATGCTGGACGGACGCCTGGCTGGCCTGGAGGCGAGATTGCCTCCTGCGCCGAGTATGCGCCCCCCGCTCGCGTCGACACAGCGGCCTAAGGCCGCCGCTCCGACCGCGCTCCCCGTAGTGGGAGGCCGCGTCTCCTACGCGGCGGCGGCGTCTGCCCCGACTCCATCGGCTCCCCAAAAGCCGAGGAGGGGGGCCAAGGCACCGGCCCAGGCGCCGGCCAAGGCACCGGCTAAGGCGCCGGCCAAGGCACATCCCCAGGCGCCGGCCAAGACGGGGCCTAAAACGGCGCCGAGGAGCGGAGTGGCATTCCCTCCGCTCCCCACTCCGACACCCCTGCCGGGCCCCTCCGCACCTGCCCCCTCCAACGAGGGTTGGCAGGAGGCGAGGGGCTCGCCACCGGTGGCAACGGCCTCTGCAAAGAGGCCGCGGAAGCTGCAGCCGCCCAAAACCGCGGCGGTAGTGGTGACCGTGTCCCCGGAGGCGGCTGACGGCGGGCTGTCCTATGCGGCCGTCTTCAAGAAGGCCCGGGACAGCCTCGCCAACGAGTTTGGGACGGTGGGGGTCAGGATGCGCCTCGCCCAGACGGGAGCTCGAGTTCTCGAGTTCCCTGGGGCCGAAGGCGCAAAGACGGCGGACTCCTTCGCTGAGAAGCTGCGGGGAATATTTGCAGCCACAGATGGTGTCAGGGTCGCCAGGCCTACCAAGTGCGCGGAACTGCGCATCTCGGGCCTGGACGACTCAGTGACGGCCGAAGATGTCCGCGCTGTAATCCGGGAGAAGACGGGGTGCAGCGCGGACAACGTCAGGGTCGGCACCATCCGCCCCGGTCCAGGAGGGCTTGGCGCCGTGTGGGTCAGCTGTCCCGTAGCGTCGGCCAAAGTATTGGCCGACGCCGGCAGGCTGCTCATCGGCTTCGTGAGCGCCAGGATCACAGTCCTGGCGGCGAGACCGATGAGATGCTACAAATGCCTAGCATCGGGACACACGCGCGTCAAGTGCGACAGTTGCTTTGACTGCGGCGGACTGTGTTTCCGCTGCGGTCAACCGGGGCATAAGGCGGCAGAATGCTCTGCCGCCCCTCACTGCCCAGTGTGTGCGGCGGGCAATAAGCCCGCCAATCACCAGATGGGGCAGAGAGGCTGCAAGCCTCCCCGCAGTTCTCGGCAGACGTCGGGGGTTAGCCAGTCGACCCAGGCTGCCTCCGATGTAGTTCGTGCGTCGACGTCGTCGCCCATGGAGGAGGTTGTAGAGACGATCCAGTAATGGATCAAGTCTCCAACCTCCTGGTCCAGACGAACCTGAACCACTGTGCCGCGGCGCAGGATCTCTTCCTGCAAACCATGGCACAGTGGTCGATAGGTGTTGCCGTAGTCGCGGAGCCCTATTCTGTCCCTCCCCGTCCAAACTGGATGGGTGACTGGGACGGCTCCGTGGCAGTCGTCGGTTCCACGACGGCTCATTCCCCGCCCTTGTCGCTAAGAGACAAGGGCACTGGATATGTTGCCGTCGAGTGGGGGGGGATCATCATATATGGTGTCTATTTCTCCCCCAACCGGAGTTTGAACGACTTCGAGGTTTTCCTAACCAGCTTGGAGACCTCGATACGGCGACTAGCGTCTGGGCACGTCCTTGTGCTGGGGGACTTCAACGCAAAGTCCACTGCGTGGGGTTCCCCCGGGACGGACGCCAGGGGCGAGGCCGTAGAGGAGTGGGCGGCCTCGGTGGGCCTCTGTCTTCTAAACAGAGGCTCCACCAACACGTGCGTGCGACAGCAGGGGGGGTCGATAGTGGACCTTTCGTTCGCTACCCCTGTCCTCGCCGCACGAGTAAGGAACTGGTGTGTCCTGGAAGAGGTTGAGACGCTCTCGGATCACCTGTATATCCGATTTGAGCTCTCCCGGACCCAGGACTCCAGTAGGGGTCACGTGGCGCGGCGTTTATCCCGCTTTCCGCGGTGGGCTGTTGCCAGGCTGAACCGGGACCTACTAGAGGAGGCAGCCATAATTCACTCGTGGCTGTCTCCTCAGGCTCCGACCGAGGAGGTCGACGTGGGGGCTGGCCGCTTTCGCGATGCGATTACGCATGTATGCGATGCGGCCATGCCCCGCGTTCGAGGTCGTCGGCCTCCAAGGAAGGAGGTCTACTGGTGGTCCCAGGAGCTGGCGGACCTCCGTGCGGCCTGTACACGTGCCCGGAGGTCCTACACGCGCAGTCGGCGGCGTCACCGTGGAGACGGTGAGGAGGACCGGCTTCATGAGGAGTACCGACGGGCGCGGAAAACTCTGAAGCTGGCCATTAGCCGCGCCAAAGAGGAAAAAAGACAGGAGATGCTGGAGGGTCTTAATCGTGACCCCTGGGGTCGCCCTTACCGCGCGGTGCGACAAAAGCTCCGCGCGTCGGGCCCCCCCCCTTACGGAGACTCTCCAGCCCAGCTTCCTGCGAGAAGTGGTTGAGGGCCTTTTCCCACAACGGGCGGAACACACTCCCCCGTCGATGGCCTCCCTGGCCGGAGACGACGGGGAGCACGGGGAGGACAATGTTCCGCCCGTCCGGGAATCGGAGGTAGGGGCGGCTGTTCTACGGATCCGTTCCAAGAACACCGCCCCTGGGCCAGACGGGGTACCGGCCCGAGTGCTGGCCCTGGCCCTCAACCACATGGCAGACCGCCTCGGGGAGGTGTTCGACGCTAGCTTGGCGTCGGGACGCTTCCCTGAGTGCTGGAAGAGCGGGAAGCTGGTCCTACTGACGAAGCCGGGACGGCCTGCCGATTCGGTCGCGGCCTATAGGCCCATCGTGCTGCTGGACGAGGCGGGCAAATTGTTTGAGAGGGTTCTTTCTGCCCGCATCGTCCGGCACCTCTGCGAGGTGGGCCCCGATCTGTCGGACGCCCAATTTGGTTTTCGGGCGGGGCGTTCGACAGTCGACGCCGTGTTGCGCCTGAGGGCCGTGACCGAAGAGGCCGTGAGCTGTGGCGGCGTGCTGTTGGCGGTGTCATTAGACATCGCCAAAGCATTCAATAGTCTGCCATTCAGCTGCATCAGGGAAGCACTCCACTATCATGGGGTGCCAAAGTACCTGAGGCGGCTGGTGGCAGACTATTTAGAGGAGCGTACCGTCGTGTACGAGGACCGAGAAGGTAATCTGAGGTGTCGGCCCATGTCGTGCGGTGTTCCACAGGGGTCTGTTCTTGGACCCCTCTTGTGGAACATAGGGTACGACTGGGCCCTTCGCGCCGATTTCCCCCCCGGGCTGGGTGTAATCTGTTACGCAGACGATACCCTCGTGACAGCCCGGGGGGCAAACTTCCAAGAGGCGGCGCGCCTGGCCACAGGGGGAGTCTCCCTGGTGGTCGGGCGCATTGAGGCGCTGGGCTTACGGGTGGCCCTAGATAAGACGGAGGCCCTGTTATTCCATGGGCCCCGTCGTGGTCCACCCCCTGGCGCCTCAATAGTGGTCAACTCGGTCCTCGTACCGGTTCGGGCCCAGATGAAATATCTGGGCCTGATCCTCGACGGGAGGTGGCTCTTCGACGAGCACTTCCGACAGCTTGCTCCAAAGCTGGTCGGCGTCTGGTTTTTCCATATTTATTTTGTGTTCAATATTGTGTTCAATATTGCAAATGGGTTTTGGCTGGGTTCTTAAGAATGTGATCGTTTTTAGACGAAGCAGTAGAAGAAGGCAAATTTTGGGCAAGGATAACGGATGGTCTGAGGACTGGAGTAAGTGAGTTTTGCAAGCCTTGAATTGGAAATGGCATTGAGATTGAGATCAAACTTAATGTTGACTAATATAATTTTCTTTTTCTAGTAGTCTCACATGCTTATTGAATATTTCTTTTGCCAGAATTGTTGGAACTCCTAAAAGTTTACATAATTATATAACATGTTATTGTGACGTCACACGTTATCTTCGGGTCCAAGATCTGTCTGCATGTGATCGTCTAAATAACAGTTTAATAGCTGATGCTATAACATGACAAGTTCACACATCGCTGTCTAGAGAGCGTGTGTAAGCGAGGTGGCGCTGCCGGTGTGCGCCGGTATGCGGGTCAGCGGGTACTAACGGTGCTGCGCGCGCTTCGACGTGCTGTGCTATACAATGTTTGAAAGTAGAGCGGTACGGAATATTTATAAGGGTGGTAGGTGTAAGGAGACCGTTCCAATGTCAGATAAAACTAACGACAATTTGATCCTGTTCGGTACGTTAATCTGCCAGACTCGTGACGTAAAATTAACTTATAAGATCGAATGTGAGTTTCATAATATATCATAGCAGACACGTTGTTAGAGGATCTCCTACATTAATTAAGAAGTGAATAAGAAAAAAGTGAAAGAAGAGTATAAGAAAGGTTATAGTAAAACTATAAGCCAAAACTAACGCATAAATGACAAGTCACGAATAGATGATAACGGCTCCTGTCGGATGCTCTGACGTATGGTGCATTATTGCGTATAACATTTGAAAACTTAATACAGAATTCCGCAACCAAACAAATGACTGCTTTTGATACAAGGATTGCTTTACTTAAAATACTTATTACTTTCTTTTTTCTGGACTAAAAACTGCACTAATAGTAGCCTTTTTTCAACTAGTAGGTGTACAAGACTTCAATTAAAAAAGAAAATAATTGTAAAAGAATTTCATATTATAGGCATCTGATTATAAGTAGTCAGCAACATGATAAGATATTTATGGATAAGTTTGAGGAACGCGTAAGTCTCAGTGCTGTAAGCATTCATACACTGCAGTAATCTATTTACTGATTTGCAGTAGGTCCGTATGGTGACGGATAAAGAATACTGGGTTTCACCACCACAATTCATCCCGTGGGTGTCTTAAGAGCAAACTACGCAGGACAACAGCACTGAAAAGAAAAGAAAAACTTGTCACAAACCCTATACGATCCTCTGGTCAGCGTGGTGTCAGTAGACCAAAAGCTTCTTTCTAAGGAGAGGCCTATGTCCAGCAGTAGATGTAGACTATTAAAGGCTGTTGATGTGATGTGCTTTGAAGTATGTACGATACAGTAGACATATGCAAAACATTTAGGCAAATGGATTAATCGTTCAAACAAAGTTAGGCATGCAGCCTGTGCTCGTTTATAATGACGACCGAATGGCGTAGTGGTTTGTGTAACTGACTGCTATTCCAAAGGTCGCGGGTTCGATTCCCGCTCAAGTCAAACATTTCTGTGCATGAACATTAAATGTTTGATTTGGTCTGGGTGTTTCTATGTATAATAAGTATATATTAAAAAAAAGATAATTTAAAAACCTATGTATTGATATCAGTTATCTAGTAGCCATAGTACAAGCTTTGCTTAGTTTGGGACTAGATGGCGTTGTGTGAATGTGGTAGAATATTATTATTATATTATTATTAAATAATATCTGTGTACTCTATATCTTGTTCTATTATATCCCATATAATGTATTCAACAATGAATGACAGTGTTCGCACTAAGGTATTCGTCGCGTGCATGCTCCCGCGCTAATCTAGAACCAGGTGTTCGACTGACACGCTTTTGCGGCCGACTTGTCATACCCAGACACTTGACGTACAATGGCCGTATAATAAGGTGCCGCAAGTCTGGCGCCTGCCTTAGTTGTTATTCAAAATATTTGCATGTTACATTGCATGAAATCTAGAACGATTTCTCCCTTAATATATCTTGTTTCTTCCTCTGAGCCTCCTAAGCTGTTAGGTTCCAATAGTTTAGATGTAAATTGAGACGATTTCAAGCAAGTGCTAGGTTTTATCTGAACTGAATTAAGTTGTTGTTAATCTCATTATGGTTACCTAAATAATATTCTTTTGTTTTTTTTTTCCGATCATTACTTTTTCAAAACAACATATAATATACCTTGCTACTTGTAACTCATCCTGAGACAATCATTTTTCAAAGAAAAATATTAAGATTTGCATCCCAACACAATATATGATTGATTGGTCTTCACGCTAGCCAATATTCAATGTTTATCATGCTTCATAAGGTTAAATTTTCATATAGTTAGGTATGGCTACTTCTAAACTTAACAGAAACTTGATGAGCTTGCGTTTTATGTTCTAACTTTACTCTTACTTAGAAACAAAATATTTGACGTGGCTTCTTTTCTACAATCTATGTTGTTAAACATCTTGGTTGTTTTTCACAGATACTCAGTATATGCACTCGGGTCACCTTGCCGGAGCCTACGGCATCATCGCCGGCGAGTTCAGTAGCAGATATCGACAAGAACGTTGAATCACGTGATGATGCCCTCAGCGACAGTGAGGAGCCGCCTGAAGGCTACTACGCTTTCGTCGAATCTCCTAATGCTACACCACCCAGGTAATGAGCCTCTTCAGTCAACAACTTTTTTTTATTAATAAATTCATCAACATCAATCATCAACTGCCTACAACAGTCCACTGCTGGACATAGGCCTCTCCTTAGAAAGGAGGTTTTGGCCTACTATTCCACGCTGGCCAGACGGGTTGGTATAGGGTTTATTTCAAGTTTTCCTTCTCTTAGCAGTGCTATTGTCCTGCGTAGTTTGGTCGGCTTTTACACCCACGGGATGAATAGGGGTGATGACATTCCGTATTCTTAATACGTCACCACACACATTAACAAATTAATGTATGTTAAATATCACTCTTTGCAATGTTAAGGATATTATTAGTTGCTTTGCATACCATTTTAAACTATCAATTATTAATATGTACGAGGTGGACCAGTGCTACCTTACACCATTAAGTTTCATGTTCCCACTTAGCCCCCCTCCTATCAATTAATGTAAATAAATAAAAGCTTAACTGTATGAGTTCATAGTTGAATAAGAATCGGAGAGACAAAACTATGTACCTACCTACAGAGGGAAAACTGTTTGAGTATCTATAACTTGAGAAAGGGTGCCAAGTTCTGTCCTGAAAACATTCCTGTGAACTATTTTGTTACTAGTACGTATTTATCTTCATATAATCTAACTTTTTAAACCTTTGTCCTGATAGAGAATCATCTATGTATACGAGCATTCACGAGATGACGTAGGTACCTAATCTCTGAATTACTTGTCGTTTTCAAAGTCATGGCTTTGGCCGTTGTTTCAGAGCGTTCATTCTGCACTAATTGCGTAGTGGTTTAAGCAGTCGCTACGCCCTACTACTTTGTGTGATCCACAAATTGCTGTTCTGAGTCTTGGTGTTCTTTGTGTCCGTTTCATGTATGTTTGTAAAGTCCCCCGCGACACAGGATAATATAATGATATTCCTAATGCGGGAGTTGTCTTTAAAAAAAAACTCGTTTATACATAATTATGTTAGAAGTTTTCCTATTACAATATTATCTTCTTAATTGTCAATCATCATAAGTTACAACATGTTACTGTCTCTAAATATTCTCCGTAACTGCTTCGTTACTTTCACCGCTGACACATAACACATCAAAAATATCACGTATATTTAAAGAAGGAATAACGTCAATGTCAGGTGTGGCCATGAAACAAGCGACCACTTTCACTAACCATGTTTGACTTTGACGAACTGTCTTGACCATTGACGGTACCGGTGACGAATGAGGGTACCGGATATCTTTTGTGCTATTTGTGTTAGGAATGCTGTTATATTGTAGCCAAAATAGGAACAAGCAGCTTTCAATTTATTTTGAAGGTAAGAATTTGCACTGCCCTTTTTTTATGTTTCCTGGAAATTTTGTTGCCGATGTTCTGCCGATTCCAAAGTAGGATACGTGTGGGTTCTGATTTCTTGGTGTTTTCTGGACACTTAAAAACCATTGCAGTATCTGGGATATTGGAGGCTTCAGATTGTGTATGATGCAGAATTTAAATAGTCTCGTTAACTTTTTAGAAGTCGAGCAAGACTATATCTATAGTAAATTACTCAGAGGCCTTCATGGTGGCGTTAAGATAAAACAGTTATAAATACATGGACTATAAAATATGTTTCTAATTGTTACAGAGTCCGGCCTCCTCCCTATCGACAAGTGTCATCACCATGTCCTGACGTAGATTCCACGCGCCCGCACGTCTCCGCGAACAATTTGTGTGGAGACCTTAACAGGGGCCTCATTCCTAAGAACCCTATGGGGCAGAACCCTAATGGAGAGCCGTATCCATTGTGAGTATCTAATATTTTAATGTCAATTTTGGTTTGAAGATGGTGTAAGCTTATGTAGCTTAAGTTAGATGAAGACATTTGACTATTTCAAGAGAGCGATTATTATTAGTATTTTGGGTTACATTTTTTTTATGATATAAGGGGGCAAACGGCGATCTGGTTGGTCAGATTTTAATTAACTGTCGTTGCTTGTGGATACCCATAACTGGGTCCCAAGTGTGTTGCCGCCTTTTGGGGTTTGGTTGATGGTTCTCTCACGCTGAAAAATAGTGTTTATATTAAAAACGCATACTTTTGATCTTCAGCGAATTAATCCGCAACCAGACCCTCCGCTTCCTGTCCCGCACGTTGCCCGTGCTGCGCGCCGACGACACGCTGCCGCGCGTGGCGCACCTGCCGCCCGCCGCGCTGCCCGACCTGCAGCACAACCGGTAAGGAAACCCTCCACGAACCGTTACTATTCTAAAGTCTTCTTAATTCCTTCTACATGAGAATAAAAATTTATTTGAATAACAAGTGAAGTATCTTTAAGCCAGTTGACATCAGTCATATTACGTGTATCCGTTTTTTGTCTCACGTAATTAATTTGACTGCACGGATGGCTTTAGTAGTTTAAACGATCGCCACGTCGCTTTTTACTACGCTGAGTGTTGTGGATTCGATTTCCATATGGGACGACACTGTGTGATCTATAAATTGTTATTCTGAGTCTCTGGTGTTTTGTGTCCATTTCGTATACGTTCGTAAAGTCAATCGCGACACAGGATATATTTTTAATGTGAGATTTGTCCTTTTAAAAGAAAAAGTGCCTAAGTGGAATGCATTCCACAAATTTCAATCGGTTTTGATGTTGAATAGGTATTAAGGTGTAGCTTCCCCCGCAGGCTAGAGGAGCGCTCGAAGCGCTCGGTGTCGGAGGCGAAGGCGGAGAGCGCGGGGGCGGAGGGCGCGGGGGGGGAGGGCGCGCTGCGCGCCGAGCACCGCGGCGCCGGGGACGCGCCGCCGGCCGCGCGCGAGGGGCGCAAGTTCTGCGACGGCGGCGGAGTGTGAGTAGCGACTACCTTTTTGTTCTTTGTCTGTGCGGGAATACCTTCGGATGTGGTTATGTCGGATATGAACCGACCAAAAACCGCACGACGTCTCTGATACCAGTAGCTGGAGGAGCCAGATGTACCCTAGGAAGGAAATCCCCGGAACCCCGACGGCCCCGGGCCATATACGGCTTGCAGAAGAACTCCTCGTGTATGGAAACCACTTCTACAACCTAAAGGGCGCGTCGCGCCTCCAACCCGGTCTGCTTCTGCTAGGGTGACAGACGGTCTCACCTGTCTCCCCCAACCCTGCGCTTATGGAGGACCGAGTTCGTTTTCCAACCACCGGCGCCTGAGTCTCCTACGGTAACGGACCTTTCGGACCGGGAGAGTACTAAATCTCTCCCGGTCCCGCTCCGCCGTCTCCTTCGCAAGCATAACTTTCTCACAAAAGAAGACGGCAGAATTCCACGCGCTCTCGCTTCGTACCATGGCCACAATCATGGTACTAAGCGAGAGAATTCCCACTCCGATTGCCGCCACGAGGTCACGCCTCTGCTCAATCAACGCCGAGCATTCTGCCTTTCAAAGAGTTTGCGTATATCGTCAAGCAACACAATAGGCTGGTAGGCGGATGGTGACTCCGCCGGGCACCCCTCCTTTCGGATGAGGATCAGTTTCTCCGTCGTCCACAATTTCGGAAACTAGCCTGTTCGAGGCATGCGCTGAAGAGCGCTCTCAGTCGGGCTCGAGAGCCACGTCATCTAGAGCCAGGACCCACGCTCAGCCAGGAATTCCATCGAGTCCCAGTCCATGTTTTTGGCATTAAGCCATCGCACCGTCAGCCCTAGTTCGACCCAAGTGACCTCAGGCACGTCGTCGCCATCCACGTTAGGCGCCTCAAGCACGGGAGGCGGAGCCATCTGTGGTGGAGTGTGCTCCACTACTCGCGATGGGAACAGGGAGCCAACGACTCTCTCAAGCAGCGGCAGACACCGGCAGTCACCGGCGGGGCCCATGGGCGCATCTTGCCCCACGGGTCCCGCTCCAGTGTATCCAGTAAAGTAGCGACCACCTAACACCGGCTTAGAGCAACACCACACGAGTAGTGCTGGACCTCTGTATATCACAGTATAACGCGTCACCGGAACGTCAATGACTCAATGTGTACAGGGTTACTTCAGTTTGTTAACGACTATGAAGCAAATAAACTTGTTTTATTGCCACTATTATTGTCGGTACACATCGTATGAAAAAAAAAGTGAAATAATTGCAGCACACATTATTGACGTTCGACACACTAATATTTCTCACCAATCTCTCTGATTCCTCGATGAGCACTTGCTCCAAAGCTGGCCGACGCTACGTCTGCCTTTGCCCTTGAGACATCGCCTTACTCATGCCCACTTTTGCTGGCAGGCGCTAGGAGGGGTCCGGATGTCTTAATAACAGCTGTTCCTCGGTTTGATTCCGACGAATGCCCTACCGTAAACCCCGGTATGGTGACGATCTGAGATTTCCACACGTACACAATTAAAAAAGGATTTATTTTTAGGGCAAGTCAGGTTTACTGTAATAGACTTACTTGTCACGGAACACTGTGTGATTTTAGTCGATTCGCGTCCAACATACAAAATCACCCTCTACTCCAATGAAGCAATGACCCAACAATAAAAAGGCTAGCAATAAAACAATTCAAACTTAATTAATTTTGTTTAATTACAAAGCAATAATTTACCAGTAACTTAGATTTAAACTTATACGATTGTAATAACTGACCACTTTATATTTCCATTTAAATAAATTACCAACTTTTATTCGTAAATTTACAGCTGAAATTTCGCTGTAAGACTTTACGTACCATACAAATATCACATTATTCCTTATTTTTTCTCCCACGACACGCATAGCTGGACTTACAATATTATGTTAAACATATATATATATATATATATATCTATAAGCATAGAGTGAACAAGAGCCCCAATCTTGCATTATAAGGAACGAGAGAGATGGATAATAGATAGTTCCCTCTATCTCTTTCTAGTCGAGCTCTGTGGTTGGCTGAAGAAATTTGTAATCTCCCGCCTGTTTTACGATCAAAACCATGCCCACTACACGGTAGCCAATGGCAGCTTAATTAAACAGAGGCAGAGGGAACTATCGGACACCGTTCTCTCTCGTTGCCTGTATCGCTTCCATTTACAGGCAGGCGGCACTTAGTCTATGCTTATAACTCTATGGTTATAAACCAAAATGTTTAACACGAACATTTATCTGAAGAAACTTACATTAACATTATATAAATGCTGGAACTAGCTAACAAATCGTAATCAAACTTAACACAACACCAATAATGCTGACGCAGACACAGGTGTTTATAATTATGGCAAGTTTTTCTAAGAAATGTCGATATCAATGTTTTCACTTCCATAAAAAAATTACCTGTTGGTAGGACCAATTACTGTTAACGATACGCGGGTATAGGTTTTAAGCACCATTTTTCATCACACATACCTTTCATAAATTACATATGAAGACTAAAAACGCAAAACGAAATTTCCACATATTTTTATCGTTACAATTCCTACCATAGGATATTATTGGGAATACTTTATTTCTCGACATAATTCTGGGTTGATATTTTACTTTACTATATTTACCTACTTATATAGTGGGATATAGTTTTATACGAAAAAACTTACTAAATAGAATTACTTATAGCTATAAACTGTATGTAAAAATCATCACATCACATCACATCAACAGCCTTTAACAGTCCACTGTTGGACACAGGCCTCTCCTTAAAAAGGAGGTTTTGGCCTACTATACCACGCTGGCCAGACGGGTTGGTATAGGGTTTGTGTCAAGTTTTCCTTCTCTTTGCAGTGCTGTTCTCCTGCGTAGTTTGCTCCCTTAGTCGGCTCTTACGACACCCACAGGATAAACAGGGGTGGTGACACTTCGTATTCTTAATCCGTCACCACACGGACTATGTAAAAATATGCAATACAAATTTTAAACTTTTAAACTCTTGGTTGTTTGGGGTTATAAAACATTTCCTCTCTTTTTCTCTTTCATCTGATATAACAGAGGGATAAAGAATAGTTAAAAACATCTCAATAAGCATTTCATATGAGTGTAAATATTGTATTAGGATGCTATTTAATATAACAAAATATCTAGCTAGAAACAACTGTGTCATCAGGAATTTGCATAATTAAAAAGCCCAAAATTGATCTAAGTGGAGTGCAATGGAAGAGGCCTATGTCCAGCGGTGGACTGCGATAGGCTGATGATGATGATGAATGAAAAAAGTTACTAAACAATTTTGGCATAGGAATCCAAAAGTTCTAATCCAGATCATTATACAATTTATCTTTGAGTTCGTTTTGCAACCTCCGGCGCCTGAGTCTCCTACGGTACCGGGCCTTTCGGACCGGGAGAGTACTAAATCTCTCCCGGTCCCGCTCCACCGTCTCCTTCGCAAGCATAACTTTCTCGCAGAAGAAGACGGCGGAATTCCACGCGCTGTCGCTTCGTACCATGGCCACAATCACGGTACTGAGCGAGAGAATTCCCACTCCGTTAGCCGCCACGAGGTCACGCCTCTGCTCAACCCACGCCGAGCATTCTGCCTTTCAAAGAGTTTGCACATATCGTCAAGCAAAACAATGAGCTGGTAGGCGGATGGTGTCTCCGCCGGGCACCCCTCCTTTCGGATGAGGATCAGTTTCCCCGTCGTCCACAATTTCGAAAACTAGCCTGTTCAAGGCATGCGCTGAAGAGCGCTCTCAGTCGGGGCTCGAGAGCCACGTCATCTAGAGCCAGAACCCACGCTCAGCCAGCTATTCCATCGAGTCCCAGTCCATGTTGTTGGCATTAATGGCGTCGCACCGTCAGCCCTAGTTCTACCCAAATAACCTCAGACACGCCGTCGCCATCCACGTTTGGCGCCTCAAACACGGGAGGCGGAGCCATCTGTGGTGGAGTGTGCTCCACTACTCGCGATGGGAACAGGGAGCCAACGACTCTCTCAAGCAGCTCTGACTGAAGACACCGGGTCACCGGCGGGGCCCATGGGCGCATCTTGCCCCTAACCATACGGCAGGGACGTCCCCACGGGTCCCGCTCTAGTGTCTCCAGTTAAGTAGCGACCACCTAACACCGGCTTAAAGCAACACCACACGAGTAGTGCTGCACCCCTGTATATCACAGTGTAACGCGTCACCAGAACGTCAATGACTCAGGGTTACTTCAGTTTGTTATCGACTATGAAGCAAATAAACTTGTTTTATTGCCACTATTATTGTCGGTACACATCGTATGAAAGAAAAATGTGAAATAATTGTAGTACACATTTTTGACGTTCTCTCTCTGATTCCTCGACAAGCACTTGTTCCAAAGCTGGCCGACGCTACGTCTGCCTTTGCCCTTGAGACATCGCCTTACTCATGCCGCACTTTTGCGGGCAGGCGCTAGGAGGGGTCCGGATGTCTTAATAACAGCTGTTCCTCGGTTTGATTCCGACGAATGCCCTACCGTAAACCCCGGTATGGTGACGATCTGAGGAGATTTCCCCACGTACACAATTAAAAAAGGATTTATTTTTAGGGCAAGTCAGGTTTACTGTAATAGACTTACTTGTGACGGAACATTATGTGATTTTAGCCGATTCGCGTCCAACATACAAAATCACCCTCTACTCCAATGAAGCGATGACCCAACAATAAAAAGGCTAGCAATAAAACAATTCAAACTTAATTAATTTTGTTTAATTACAAAGCAATAATTTACCAATAACTTAGATTTAAAATTACACGATTGTAATAACTGACCACTTCATATTTCTATTTAAATAAATTTTCGAACTTTTATTCGTAAATTTACAGCTGAAATTTCGCTGTAAGACTTTACGTACCATACAAATATCACATTATTCCTTTTTATTTCTCCCACGACACGCATAGCTTTACTTACAATATTGTGTTAAACATATATATATCTATAAGCATAGAGTGAACAAGAGCCCCAATCTTGCATTATAAGGAACGAGAGAGATGGATAATAGATAGTTCCCTCTATCTCTTTCTAGTCGAGCTCTGTGGTTGGCTAGAGAAAATTGTAATATCCCGCCTGTTCTATCAAAACCATGCCCACTTCACGGTAGCCAATGGCAGCTTAAGTAAACAGAGGCAGAGGGAACTATCGGACAACATTCTCTCTCGTTGCCTGTATCGCTTCCATTTACAGGCAGGCGGCACTTACTCTATGCTTATAACTCTATGGTTATAAACCAAAATGTTTAACACGAACATTTATCTGAAGAAACTTAAACACTTACATTTTATAAAAGCTGGAACTAGCTAAAAAATCGTAATCAAACTTAACACAACACCAATAATGCTGACGCAGACACAGGTGTTTATAATTATGGAAAGTTTTTCTAAGAATTGTCGATATCAATGTTTTCACTTCCATAAGAAAATTACCTCTTGGTAGGACCAATTACTGTTAACGATACGCGGGTATAGGTTTTAAGCACCATTTTTCATCACACATACCTTTCATAATTCATAAACTACATATGAAGACGAAAAACGCAAAACGAAATTTCCACATATTTTTATCGTTACAATTCCTACCATAGGATATTATTAGGAATATTTTATTTCTCGACATAATTCTGGGTTGATATTTTACTTTACTATATTTACATACTTATATAGTGGGATATAGTTTTATACAAAAAATCTTACTAAATAGAATTACAGCTATAAACTGTATGTAAAAATATGCAATACAAATTTTAAACTTTTAAACTCTTGGCTGTTTGGGGTTATAAAACATTTTTTCTTTTTCAAAATGTTCTGATATAACAGAGAGGGATAAAGAATAGTTAAAAACATCTCAATAAGCATTTAATATGAGTGTAAATATTGTATTAAGATGCTATTTAATATAACAAAATATCTAGCTAAGCTAGAAACAACTGTGTCATCAAGCTTGTATACCCGAAATTATTAATAAAGAATGTAGCCGACATTAAGCTGGCTTAAAAAGCCCAAAATTGATCTAAGTGGAGTACAATGGAAGAGGCCTATGTCCAGCGGTGGACTGCGATAGGCTGATGATGATGATGAATGAAAAAAGTTACTAAACAATTTTGGCATAGGAATCCAAAAGTCCTAATCCAGATCATTATACAATTTAGCTTTGAGTCCTTAATGATTTATTTAAAAAGGATGTTTATGAAAATGATCTAAACGCTGTAAAATATTATAACATCAGTAACGATGTATATTTTAATATAAACATGTTTCATTTGCAAGGAGGTGAACTGTAATTTGCCCTTGCCTTTGTGATTTATGTGAGGATGATGATGATGATGATTAAAAAGTTCTTCACCGATTTAGTTCAAATTTTGACACAATATACAACTCGCTTCAAAGATGATTTTTATTATCAATGCAATTACAATATGCCATAGAGAAGTGTGACAGGGTGTCCCTGTCACACTTCTCTATGGCATATACTGAACTAGCTGTAGCTAGTTCAGGAATATAATGTTGTGACTGTGATATTAAGTTAATCTCATCAATAAATTTCTCCCTATTTTTAACACTTCAAGAATTAAAATAGAGTTTTGTCTCTAAGACAAATGGCCCACACTAGTTTTACGTTTAATAAGTTACTCTATAAAGTTTGCCAGAAACCCTGTAAGTCTATATATATATCACGTGCAAGTGTAGTTTTAGCTTAAGCGATGTGAATGTGTATATCCTAGTTTGGTTTAAGTTTTCTGTTCCATTATTGTTTTGAGGTTGTCCATGACTATGTCGAGAGAATTTGGGGTTTTGCCGTCCAGGATCGTTACACGGGGGTTTTTCTCTATCTGAAAGTAGAAAATTAACTAGTAAGATATTGGACTGTGGTTAGAGATGGAGAACAAAAAAAAGAATTTACACAAGTTAGTTATTGCCTGCGGTTGGGTTTGCGTAGAGTAATTCTTAGTTTAAAAATGACCGACTTGTATACAACTTCGCATTCCTTATTTTACCCTTTTAGGGATAAAATTGCAAAAAAATATTTGTTAATGGGTGCTTACAACATAAAAAGCATCAGCAAAGTTTCAAGTTTGCTATAAACTTGAAATTTTAGCAGTTGATGCTTTTATTTGATGCTTTTCCCCAGCGGTTTAGGCTCTGTGTTAATGAATCAATCAGTCAGGGCAAGTAATATTGTATGTACACCACTTGTCTCTATCATTACCTACATTATGAGCTTTTTCGACTGTTAAGCCAAGCTGTTAAGGCTTACATACTTACCTACAAGATTGTCTGTTTTAGGTACTTCTGTCCTGCCCTATCTTTAGAATATTACCCAATTTTACCCAACAAGTTGATTAATTTAATTTAATATTATATAAATACTGTTTCCGAAGAATATCCAATGTGAGCGCTTTTCAGGGTAGCTGGAACACTCGGGGTGTAATGTCAGGGGGGTTAAAACTAAGAACAAAGTGAGGGGGTACAGACCGCCTGGCGGTACCGGAGGTGCTCGGGCCACACGCACAGCTCGAAGTAGCCGGGCACGTCGGGCGGCTCGTACACGCGCAGGCAGCGCCGCGCAAAGCACTCGCCGTACTCCAGCACGAAGTAGTAGCTGCCGAATCCACCACGCTAATTATAGACATTATAACTTCACACATCACACATACGGCCGTCTCATCTGAGAGACTGACTCGGTTACTGGAGCCATAACCCCCTTCCCCGTCCACTTTCAACTGGTTCTATAGGGGAGGGAGGGACTTAAAAGGCGGTCCATGAGGGCCGCTAGTCACATAACATCAAATGTCCCGTCTGTTCGTTTGCCCCCACTAAAATAAGCCTCATCATCATCAAACAGCCTTTAATAGTTCACTGCTGGATATTGGCCTCTCCTTAGAAAAGAGGTTTTGGCCTACTATACCATGCTGCCCTGACGGGTTGCTATACGATTTGTGTCAAGTTTTCGTTCTCTTAGCAATGCTATTGTCCGGTGTGAATAGGAATAATGACACTCCGTATTCTTAATCCGTCACCAGGCAGACGACCAAAAAACCCTATTCTATGGTAACCAGACTTCTTAAATATATAAATATTACCAACAGTTAAACTACACCGCGATACGAATCAAAAGATCATGCTTATCACACAATATTTGTCCTGGAACGGAATCAAAGCAATATAATCAACTAAAAAACTTTTTTTTAAAACTTTTTTTTTTTTTTCTTTAACATAAGCAGGTACTCACCTCAGGTTACACAACTTCATAATAGGTTCATAATTCAAAACTGTGAACCCTTCGATAACCAAGAACTTCTTGTTTGGTATCTTGAATATGTGCTCTCCATCGTGGGTACTCGAGTAATGAGACTTATCGGTCCCCTCTATGGTCGCACATATGTCTTTGTACATAGTCTCCATATCCAGAGCTGACAGAATATCATAGTTGTTGTGATCTAAGTTCTCACACTTGATATGATGTGGGCTGTCGTCAGGGTAGAAGTATTTATCTTGGTGGAATGTGTATACCGGTGATAGTTTCATATTCAACTGATTCGCTAGAGATGTTTTGCCACCGCAGGTAACGCCTGATATACCGATAATGATCCATTCATTTCTGTGATTCATTTCTAATGTTTGTTTTTCGCTGTGGACGGTGGCAGACAGGTTGTTTGTTACTGGTACATGAACATGTGGTACAGGGTAAAAGACATTAGGCCCCCTATGAAAAATAGACCCCAAGTGCCGCAGAATAGTAGAAACCACTTGGGGTCTGGTACCAGTGAGTAGAATGATGAGTCTGAAATAAATACTTTGTGTTAGTACTTTTTATCTCTAAACAGTCAACTTAAGGGGTAGATGAGCTGACAGGTTAGGAATCAAGCTCACAAACTGTGTGCACCTGTGGGATCATGTTGGTCTAGTGGTTAGTGATGATTTATAGGTCGTGCTTTGGACATTTTTTCTTTGTGTGGGTGTAATCTGGCCTGTATTAAACAGAGCGAGCGATGTTGGTGGTACACTTTTTTGAGAAACTGTCACACTTTCAGATTTGGGATTTGGCATGGTTTTTTATAATCATGTATAGATGTTATCTATCATAAAAAAATTGTTTTAAAATAAAACATGTAATATTTCATCAATTGGACTGTTAATACTAACACTACCTGTTAGAAAACTATAGAATTAGTATCGATGTATTACGTCGATTTTTTTCTATAGAAAACTTCGCGAGCCCTTCTAAAGCACCGCTTCTTGCTAGTATATACAAGTAAATTCTTCAATATACTAATTGGATAGGGGTTACCTTGCTTACAAGAAGTATAATATGAATAGTGCAATATTTTCTCAATTAACAAATCTATGTGTACTACTAGTGAACCACCCCAGCGTTTTTAAGGGACTTGGTTTCAAAAATATATTTTTTTTTGCATAAATAAAAACTTAAGGTATTAGGTTTCATTACATATACAAAAACAAATAAGCAGATGCGTTATTACAGAAGATTGATTGCCAGCAGAGGAGTACTAAAGGCTGTTGATGATGATGAAATTAAAACAAATTACTTACCTTCGTCAATAAATGGGTAGCTATTAATCCAGAGGGTCAGCAGAATGAATATAAAAGAAGTTGTACCCAACACGACCTTGGCAATCACACGGTCAGGCACATCCATAAATAAGCATTGTATCACACCAACGATCAATCACTCAATATATTTAGATATTCTTTGAGATGTTCCCGACTTGACTTATTTAATGAAAGTAAATTTTAACTGCAGAAAAGTTCTGCTTCAAAATCTTCAAATGATTCGGTTCCTTCTGGGAAGAGTATGGACTTGTTTTCGTCTACTTTGACTTCTGGTTTATCAGCGAGTGGTTTCTGCTTTATTGCACGCTCCACTATCTGTAACAAAATATGTACTTGATTATTATCATAGGATAGATAATAATTATTACTAACGACTAACACATTATTTAAACATAAATATATCAAACTATATTAGCATAAATAAGCAAATTGAACAAAACACATATATTAATTGCTTTTTTTTACATTTCTTTGGTAGGCAGGAACTGAATTATTTGTCATGAGTAAAAATCAAACCCATTACCTCTAACACAGCAAACAGGATCACTATCCACTATACGAGCAGGGAAGACAAGGTAAAAGAAGTCAAGGTATGACCTAACTTATTTTATTACTAAATGAACCAGATATGACTATGGCTATATGTAATAAGAGATAAAATAATTATCACTGTACATACACAATTTGAAGATGACATTGATTAAAGTAGGCACTGTTAATACACAATACTAAAAACTATTAAGTAATCATCGTTTTCTTACGGAATTTTTAATTTAGTTTGAAGTCTGTGCAACGTGTAACATTGTACCAGCCAGTTATTTGTTTGATGCCAATTTCCCTTGCATGTGATTGTTCAGATGGGATGGGACAAAAGAAGGCTGTTTGGGATAAAGTAAACAGAGAGGTATATAATAATATATATATATGTATATAATAATCGATACATCAAGTATAAGATGCGGAAGTGGGGCTATGAGATTTAAAAGAGGCTAGGTTTATGTAATCCTATGTCTGACCTGTGATTGGAGAGATCACCAGGAAAGGGACTTAAATTGAATTTATTTAAGCACACAGCGTAGCAGTTTAGTTTAAATGTTTGTTCAAATTGACATTGCCAAATTTTGATCACATTAAATCAAAACAAGTAATAAAAACCCGGCACAATAATGATGAATGTTTGTTGGTAATCAATTTTATTATTTAAATTGAGGTTTGTTATACTAATATGTATTGTACTAAAAAAGTTATTACTTAAAAAACATGGAGAATAAATTAACCATGACATTAACATGTGTTTTCATCAGGGCAGTGTGTCTGAGTCGAACCTACTCAGTTTCAGTAAAAGCCTTTTGGGAAGTTAAAAAAGTTTTACCTTTTCAGTTGTGGAAGTATCTGCAGTGGGTTTAGACAATGCCAGCAGCTTTTTAATGTTCTCTTCAGCAATTTGATCTTTTGATTTGCTCACCTTACCCGCTTTACTTTTATTCTTAGACAAGTGACGATAACCTAAAAAAAACAAACATACACGTAAGGTTTTAGAGCAAATAATATAATAACGGTAATAGAGATAACGGTGCACTAGACTACTTAACGCATAAGGCATAAAAATGTCTCCAATAGTAAAGTAATTGATGGTAACAAAATCAGAACCAATAAAATATTTCGCCGCGTTGTAAATGAGACTACCTCCAGTGATACGAGTGTAGGAACTAATAAAATGAACGCTCCAATTGTGATGTAATCATTTCTACAGACCTTGACCTGCCGGCCGTCGCACGCGCCCGCCGCGCTTCTTGGTTAAACACTCTAAAACAACATAAACAACATCAAATTTCTCATAACAAAACATGGCTTTAAGTAACAACTGCTAAGAATACCCATACCTTCTGGATCAACGAGTTCGAGAGCCTGTCGAACTAAAGCTAAAGACATTTTAGTACAGCTGTATGGTCAAAAAACATTTATTTTCTTTACAGTTAACACAAGAATTCCGATTCTAACCTGAAACCGAAATGTGAAATGTCAGCTACGACAAGTGTCAGTTCAAGTTCTTTACGCTTCGTTTTACGTAGAAAATTTTGCTAGTGTACAATACAAAAATTTTATAGTTCATGAAACAATTAAATTATTACAAAATTTTGACGTTGAGACACTTTGTAAGATTTAATTTTTAGGCTGCCTTCAAGCTCGACGCTTCGCCGATACATGACCATAGTGACTAGAGAATAAAACATCTCATAAGCGTAAACATTAATATTATTATGTATAAATTAAGGGTAAGGGGTTATTTAACTATTTGGTATTCATATAAAATATATTTATTTTTTGCACAGGTTCTGTATGCTTTATCGTGCTATAAACGGCGATAGTGATTCAGCAGCCGGAGTAGAAAGGCGTGAAGACCCTGGCCCACAGCCGAATCCCCAGCAGGCGCATCGATATGAAGTAAGTGGTTCATTTTTCATCAGCTTAGCTAAATGTATGTTTATCAGTAGTAGTAGTCGTAGTCTTAATACCAAAGCATCGAATACTTCTATTGATTAGTGAAAAAAAAGAAGGAGTGACTTAAGAACTTTAAGAAGTATCTACTCCGTGCAACAATAGATATTCAATCTGGTGATTTTTTTCTTCTCCTAATATATAATTTAACTGAACATAGGGACCCCCAACGCCGTGCCCAGCTCGTGTGGAATATGCGACTCCCGTGTTTGCCCGCAACTACCAGGGCGTGTGGCGATACGTGGTGCAGATTCCATACGAAGGATACTTTACACAAACTGTTGAGGTCACCAGGTCAGTTTAGTTTTATTACGATACAGGCATATTATTAACTATGTATCTTGCTATACTAACGTATATAAATGCGCATTCTGTAATATTTAAATATGTATTCGGGTAGGTATTACACTACATATTGGTCATATGCTAAGTCACCCTTGGAGTTGGCCAGCAGTGCAATCTACTCTTCATAATTAAAACATATATGCATATAAAAGTTGAATTTTAACACATATAATCCACTACAGTGCTACAGTAAAAAGAGCTAACTGAGATCAATATATACAAATTGGTTTGTCCCCAATCTTATAGTTACGTTTACAACACATAGCTTACGGGATCTCAAATTTTTGATTTAAAGTTGTGTAAAGAAGAAGAAAAGAGGTTCTAAAGAGAGGCCTATGTAAAGCAGTGGACTATTAAAGGCTGTTGATGTGATGTGAAAGAAGAAGAAGATAAATATGTGGTTATGTTGCACAGATGCATGCAGTCTCGTTGCCACTACCTGGACGGCGGCTGCCTCAGCTCACCGCGCTGGGTGTCGTTGCTGGTAGCCGAGCTGCACTACCCCCCGAGACAACATCAGGTATATATCTTTTGTTTCATACTGTCCATCAACATGCATGCTCCTTAACCTTTCTTCTTTCCTGTTTTCTTTTTCACAATTCTAATGGCATAAATTTTACTCTCTAGGATTACCAACAATACGCACAGAACCGCGTTGGTCAGCAGACTGATACCGAGTCCAGCACCGATAAACCCTCACATTGTGACGGACACGACGAAATGGGGTGCTATCAGGTATGATTGTTTTTATTCACATTTATAACAGAACAATTGTTCAAAGTTAAACAAACTGTTTTGAAAGAAAACGGTTCTTTCGTAGCTCAATAACAGTTTTCATACTAATAAGGATATGTTGTATATACCACGACTTGGATAGCGTGCATGTATAATTTTTGGAACGTATTTTTTTTACCAAAATCGAGGTAGCCTAAGCCACTTCTTAGAACATCCAACCAACAGATATGAGATACAAAAAATAAAATTATTTTTCTGGTATAAAAGATTGAGTAAAAAGCTGAGGTTATAGTAGTGAAAACAAGCACTCCAATTTTATTTATTACATAAACATTTTCATAAAAACAAAATTATTATATAAACAAAATCTGAACATAAACCAAGTCTATGCAGTTTAGTTTAGTTTATTCAGAGGAAAAACTAAAACATTTGTTGAAAAGATTTGTTCAGTGTTATTCAATGGTGGTGATCATTAAATGATACTGAACAAACTAGCCTGCAATAAAAATGGCCACTAATTTTAAATAAATTGTGCAGGTCCGACTGTACTACGACTGGTTCCTAGTGCCCGGCTCCTGCAAGTGCTGGAGGCCCGATTACTTCGCAAGGTATGTCCGTCGTCGTCAGAACAACGAGTTGTAGACTCATCCACTACAGGACCTCATGAACACATCGCATCATTCATCTGAACTTTTATATCTATAAAATGAATAAGATGAAACCTAATATTTCTAATGTCGTTGCTGTCCCAAGGCGCTGAATATAAATATTACATCATCTATGTAGCTTAAAATCATAAAATTAATATTAATTGTCACATAAAACACTAAATAATTCTAATAACTTGAATTGAAATATAAACATTATATACAAAAAAAATTTATTGTGTTTCTTCATTTGAATAGAAGAATATTTCCATTAAATAGTAAGTGAACATGAATTATTACAATTTGTCAATATCCTTTTACTAGATCCTCGTAAGCAAAATGTTTTTTAGGAAATCTGTAAAGATTTTTGAATTATATTTTGGTGCTACTGTTAACTAAAAAGTTGTGACACTAAGACTGTTTTAATAAATAATTAATGTAATAGTAAGTAGGAATGTGTACCATACGATAGCAGAGGTACATACGAACATTCTTTAGTAAACATAAGACTTAATGTTATAATGTATACTCAAAAGTAAAATCTTCTAACAGCTTACCACTAGTATCTGAAACCTTACTTTAATAAAAAAAGCGTATTTTCATGAATAAGTTGTTTGAGAACATTAGTTCCGAGTTCTATAGTTTTGGAATTAAAATAGCATGTGTAATATAGTGTTGAGGTACCGTTACTGTAATTAATAATTAATTAATCTCTGTAGAAATACTAGTTACTTTAGTTATAACTTATAAGAGAGGTTGTTTGGAAGCTCAAAATGCATTTATATTGGTAATTATCTAAAGATGGTATTAAAGACTTAACCATGCTTTCTTTTACTTTTTTTCGTATGTTTTCACAAAAGTAGCAATATAACAAGAAAATAATATTAACAAGGACGCGTCATCCAAGATAATAATGTAGTCTATATTGAAAAGAAATGGTTTAAGAAAGCATGGTTTTAATAGTAGGTAGTTAAGTATATTCAATTAAGTTAGTGCTTATTTATTTCCTTTTAGGATAAATTATTTTAATTCTGTCAATAAAGCATTTCAACATTATACAAATGGTGTTTCTAATTTTTACAACCAAATTTTGGTGTGACAGCTATCGGAAGTCGGTTCATAGGTATGTATATCCAGCGGCGTGCACAGGATTATGACACTAGGTATGCGGCTGAGTAGTCGGTCACAAAAACTTTTTCTTTTATAGATTTTTAGCATAGCCAAAGCCACGCGACGGATCTCTCTCTCGGAGTCGGAAACCATGCCAACAGAACAAGTCTTAGATGTACTACTATTCATGTACATCTTCAACGGGAACGCAGACAAAACAGCGATAGATCGTCGCGGCGGAAGAAATTCTAATAAGTAAAATAATAAGCTAAAATATTATATTATAAATACTCACCTGGTCACACACATTTTCCACACATATCTCACAATCAAATAACATTTAAAAAAATCAACGGAACTCAGTAATAAACTGTTAAATGTACACACTTTCAAATGTTAAAATGAAAAATAAAACTATAATTATACTGGCGGAAAGAAAATAGTACACAATGCTTATCACATGAAAAAAGCAATATGGCCCCCGCGAAACACAAAAAATATCTGCTACTTAAACAAATAAAACCCTACCATATTCAAAATTCATAATCCGCACACATGATTTATTATATTTCTGTCTATTGTGTTTAGTCGATTTATAGGCAAAGAACATTTCCGATTACTCCCGACAATTGCCGAACTTTAGTAGCCTGCGGCTGGAGCTGGGGAAATAAAATATATGGGTGTGTGCGTTTGCGAACTGTGCAAGGACACCAAAATTACTGCACACATGCGAACAAATTTCCTGCGGCATGTTTCGGCATGAGTTGGTTGGTAGGTACAGCGCCACTTGCTTGTTGGTAAACGCCTGGCAAACATAATGTTTGTGTGCTTTCAAATGACAAATAGGTGCTATTTATAAAATAGTAGGCGTTTTTAAGTTATTATATTTTGTTCATTTATTTACTATTAATTAAAGTCATTTAAAACGTGCGAACGTTTTATTAAAATGTCTGTGAATAGCAAGTAAAGCACTGCATTTCTGCCTACAAGGAGCGCACGCCCTTGTGTATATCAATATAAAAGACTCGGGATTCAATGATTTTTAGGAGATAGCTAGATTTTTGCAAATTTCATTTAATTTTTATACAGATGGGTCTCCTAAGATCGATATTTAACAAAATCTTAAAAGAAGCCTTATTAAAAAATAGTCAAATGCTAGTAACCGTTGATACATCCATACGTGAATTTATTTATTGGACAGCCAGTAGTTGTTACATTATTTACTAAAATCTAAAGCACGTATCTATTATATTAAGATTAATGCACAAGATTTTAAGGCGTCACGACATGCATATAGAATAACACTATGTAAAACTAAACATAGAAAAAACATCTATGTGATTTTAACACTTAATTGAACAAATATAAAATGAAGAATAAAATATAATAATCTATAAAACAAACAAATAACAAGCTGATTACTATTATATGATTTTAACTTTAACTACCTAAGTGACCACTTGAATCATTTTCAAGCCCAACTAACCTCATAGCAACTTTTAACAACTTCTTTAAGTTTTGGGAGTGCATCGGCAAATATGTCTACCTCCCCACAAATGGTATTGTATGCTTTGGACAAACGAAATAGCGTTGAGAATTGTTGTTATCTGTGAGAAGATAGACCAGTAGGCAATCATTCTTAAACACAGGGGCCATAAAGTGTGCTCGTGCTAGGACGTCGGCCAAGTAAAAAGTTCCAACCACGTTAGAAATGGGTCAGGTATTGTCTACATAATGCCGATCAGTTTACTTGTTGTTTTTCTATTTTACTTCTTCCTTTGTCTACTAATGAGGGTCAACTCAGTTGGTGTGGTCATCTAGTACCTATGAACGTCTCCAGACTTTCCAAACTTGTTTTTTACGAATACGCAACCCGGGAGATGTGGGAGTGGGGGGGGGGGGGGGCAAACGTGTCTTGAAACGCCACCTAACAGTATATGGCTTTAGTAGCGAAGGGTCAGAACCATCAGGCTACTGAGCGATACGAGGCAATCCACCTTGAGAGCTTTGACGCCAAGTGCCATATTCCAAAAACCATACCCAATCCAGTGTATAACTACGCATCTAACTCAGCTGGTCAACTGCACTCTGTCATGTGACAACATTTTCAAGACCAAATTCGGGTTTGCCAGACATCCTCGCCTTACAAACATCCAAAGCAAGGTCGACACATCGGCAGATATAACTTCAACAGTATCATTTTACTTGTGACTAGTTCTAACCCACGGCTCCCTTCTCACTCAAGTTATGTTTTGTCCTTCGAAAACAGTCCTATTTTCTGGAGGAAATGTACCTACTAATGTTTTTTTGAGCTCTGACAATGTCTATTCATAATTTTAATTACTGGGTTGAATTGTAAATTAATTGACGACCGGATGGTGTAGTGGTTTGTGTAACAGGACTGCTATTTCAAAGATCGCGGGTTCTATTATAATAATAATAATAATAATAATAATATTCTACCACATTGACACAACGCCATCTAGTCCCAAACTAAGCAGAGCTTGTACTATGGGTACTAGACAACTGATATAAATACATATATACTTTTTTTTTGTAAATACATACATATTATACATAGAAACACCCAGACCAAATCAAACATTAAATGTTCATGCACACAAATGCTTGACTTGAGCGGGAATCGAACCCGCGACCTTTGGAATAGCAGTCCGTTACACAAACCACTACGCCATTCGGTCGTCAAATATTCCCGCTCAAGTCAAACATTTCTGTGCATGTTTTGTTTGATTTGGTCTGGGTGTTTCTATGTATAATAAGCCTATTTTTACAAAAATAGTAGCAGATTCATTACAACCTTAAAGTTTCATATATTATTAATATGTAGGTTTATGTAAGTATGTAACTAGGTAAGTATTTATGTATGTATTTGGTACGTATGTATGTATGTATGTGTATTCATCGCATTGTTTCTGTCTAACTTATCAATAATTTTCTTTCACTTTACATGGTTATGTCTACTGCACCTTTTTTTTTTTTTTTTTTCGTGCGGAAATCTTCTCGGATACCACCTATCGGTGGCATGTCGGACACGAACCGACTAAAACCGCACGCCGTCTCGGGTACTAATAGCCGGGGAACCAGGTATACCCTAGAAAGGAAGTCCCTGGTGCCCCGACATACCTCGGGTCATCTACAGACGAGTAGACGACCCCCCCCCCCCCCCGTGTGGGAACCCCATGTTCCCTGTGCTCCCTGAAAGCGAGCGCGCTTCGCAACGCGCTCGCCGCCACCCCGGCCTGGTTCTGCTAGTGACAGATGGCCTCACCTGTCACCCCCAGGCCTGCGCTTATGGAGGACGGAGGTCGTTCTGCGACCTCCGGCGCCTGAGTCGCCTGCGGTACCTGGCCCGTTCCCGGGAGAGTCCTAAACCTCTCCCGGTCCCGCTCCGCCGTCTCCTTCGCGAGCATAACTTGCTCGCAGAAGGAGACGGCAGAGTTCCACGCACTCTTGCTTCGCACGATAGCCGCAATCAGGCTATCGAGCGAGAGAACTCCCACTTCGATGGCCGCCACGAGATGTCTACTGCACCTAATAATAATGATATATTTATTTGTCAGAATATGGGTGTACAGAGTTGTTAGTAGATACACTTTAGATGCTAGCCACATTCTACCGTTATCTGGTGAACAAAATGTTAGAAGAGTGAATTTACTGTTATTTTTTACAACATTATCATGCATTATTTAGTAATATAGTAATAATTATGTCAAAATTTCTTATCGTCAAAAAATTTTTTGATACTGTAGAAACATTTATCTAACAGCAACGTAAATAATTTTCTTTTAAAAACATTAATAGTATCTTCCTTAAATCTATTTGGTAACTTGTTATAAATGTGTATAGCCATACAGTATACATTCT